CCAAAATGAACAAATCAGGAGACTATAGATGCTGGAGAGGATGTGGAAAAACGGGAACCCTCTTGCACTGTTGGTGGGAATGCAAATTGGTGCAGCTACTCTGGAAAACAGTGTGTAGGTTCCTCAAAAAATTAAAAATAGACCTACCCTATGACCCAGCAGTAGCACTGCTAGGAATTTACCCAAGGGTTACAGGAGTACTGACGCATAGGGGCACTTGTACCCCAATGTTTACAGCAGCACTCTCAACAATAGCCAAATTATGGAAAGAGCCTAAATGTCATCAACTGATGAATGGATAAAGAAATTGTGGTTTATATACACAAGGGAGTACTACGTGGCAATGAGAAAGAATGAAATCTGGTCCTTTGTAGCAACGTGGATGGAACTGGAGAGTGTGATGCTAAGTGAACGAAGCCATACAGAGAAAGACAGATACCATATGTTTTCACTCTTATGTGGATCTATAGAAACTGAACAGAAGACCATGGGGGAGGGGAAGAAAAAAAAAGAGGTTAGAGTGGGAGAGAACCAAAGCATAAGAGACTCTTAAAAACTGAGAACTGAGGGTTGATGTGGGGTGGGGGTGGGTGGGTGATGGTATTGAGGAGGGCACCTTTTGGGATGAGCACTGCTGTTGTATGGAAACCAATTTGACAATAAATTTCATATAAAAAAAAGAAAAAGAGGTACAAATATCTGGTTACCAAAGGAAAAAAAAAGATCTAATTAATTAATTAATTAAAAACCCAGAGGTTTCCTTCCTTTTAAATCTTCTGCCTACTTTGCATACAATGAGGTGACCAAGATGGCCTGCCTGTTACTCTAAGCTGGACCAACCTTTAGAAAGGCTCTTCTGGCTCTAGGTCCTAACCACCCTTTTCTTTGAACATGTGCTTGAGAAAATTTGTAATTGTACATCCTTTCTCTGTTTAAAATACAGATAACCCTTTTTTACAAGCTTCTTTCCTCTTTTACAACCCCAAACTGCCTTTCTGAAGGACCTGGGAGTCATCCTTTGACACGTAATCCTCAAGGAAGATAACACCCCTATTCCCAGTCTCTGTGCGAGGTGGGGAGGTAGCTTCCAACAGGCACCAATCAGCAAACACAGATGGCCTCATCAGAGAACCACATGGACAAACTCAGGAAGTTACTCAAGGTGTTCCCCTGGTCAACCTTCCCTCCAACTTTTCCAACTTTCCCACTGTCTCACCCCAGTCCACAAACACCTTCTCACCCTTTGTTTCAGCAGAGTTGAGCTCAGACTGAGTTCTGGCCTCTCTTCCCTGCTCCGGTAGCCTCGCATAAAGTCTTCCTTGCCTGTTTTACTTCGTCCAGTGCAATTTTTGCTTTGACAGAAGAAAACTAAGACAACGTGAGCTTCCTGCAGCACTTAACTTCCATACCCCTTCTCTCTATTTATTGAACACTTACTGTGTTCTGTCAGTTGAAATAGTCTAGTCACCCTGAGAGATGGATACGGGTAATATCCAGGTTCTTTCAGACAAGGAAACCCAGGCCTTGTGAAGTCAAAGTTTACCTTGGGTCATTGCTATAATCTGACTGTCTGGGTCCTCCCCTCCTCCCCAGATTCTTATGTTGAAATCCAAACCCGGATGTGACGGTATCAGGATGAGGGACATTGGGCACGTGATGAGGCCATGAGGATGAAGCCCCGATGAATGGGATTAGTGCCCATATTATAAGACAGGGCCCCAGAGAGCTCCCCTGCTCCCAGAAATCAGGCTCTCACCACACACTGAATCTCACGGACCTCTGAGCTGAAACTTCCCAGCCTCCAGAACTGTGAGAAATACATTTGGGTGGTCCAGCCCACGGTAGGTATTCTATTACAGCAGCCCCAGCTGACTGGGACAGTCACACAGCAAGTCAATTCTGGACACCCCAGCCCTCGACCCAAAACACGTGCCTCCAGACCCCTGGCTTTCAAATACTGAAGGCAACCAAAATAAAATTGTTTGTTTAATGTGTTCCCATTAGCTTCTCTGTGTGTCTTGGGGTCCAGAGAAGTGTCTCCTACTTCATGTGCTTGTTTTGGCACTTTCTCCTCCCTGGGAAGTCAGAGATGCATTCCCCAGAGCAGGGGCACTTGGAGAGGAAAAGGAAGGGAGTGAGGTCCAGTGAGGGACATGCAAAACTACAGGATGGAGGGTCAACGCTGGGTGTGGCGGCAAGAGGCAAGCGACGTTAGACAGCGAGGTACGGGGAATATTATAATATATATGTACATATATATATATATATATATATATACACACACACACATACATCGGGCTTTGAAGGGGGCAGAAAGGGTTGTGGAGGGTTCCAGTGTATTGGGGCTTTTGGGAGTGTTGGGGGGTTCGCACTTTCCGGCTTTGCACTCAACAGTGCGGCCAGGGGGTGGGCCTCCGGGGAAGTCCAGGAAGTCCACCCTCTGCCTCCTCGGGGGAATCTGGGGAGAAGACACCACCAGGGCGGGGTGGTCCCGCACTCACCGCTCGGGCCTCGAAACCGCCACTGCTACACCTGCGCCTCCGCCGCTGAGGGACGTGGGTCACCGGGCGCGGCGCCTCCTCCCAACGCCTTCGCCAACCGCCCAGCTGCCTGCCGGCCCCGCGAGCTGGTCAGAGGCCACGGACCCTACCTCGCGCATGCGCGCACTCACCCAGTCCCCCAGCCTCCCCCCTCCTCCCTGCAGTCCCGCCACCTGGCCCGCACGCGCCTCCCTGCCCCCTGCGCGCTCTGGACCCTCCGCCCGGGACCCCGTAGAGTGTGGGGCCCCACCCAGCACTGCCCGAGGCCCCCAGACCCTGAGGGCCCTACCTCGCGGCCCGTGCGCTTGCCCCCAGGCTCTCTGCCTCTAGACCCCGCTGGACCACCCCACCACCCTCCAACTCTCAAGGGGTCCCCTCTCCCTCAAGTGTCATGGTCACCTCAGCGGGCCAGTAGCTCGTGGCAGGAAGTTGGGAGAGATTCAGTGGCCGCCCTCTAGGGTCTGTGGGCGGCAGCAGAGAACTTGCAGAGGTTCCCCCCACTCGGGGGCCCGCAAGCCTGCTGCGGGGGCCACTCGCAGCCCCCGACGTGGGGCGATTCTGGCGTAAGGCGCGCGCGGTCCTCGAGTCCAGCTCCCCAGCGAGCGCCGCCCGCGCCTCGACACGTGGGCGCTCTGCGCGTTGTGACTCCCACGGCGTCCTCTCCACGCGCTTCCCCGACCCGCCAGCCACTCAGGGGGCCTCACGTCCCGACCTCTCTCCTGCTCCACAGATTCGTCAGTGGTCGCTTCTCTTGGCGGACCCCACCCCAATACCCACCTTCGGTGTAGCTTAAGCGTTGCCAGGCCGGTTCTGAATTCTGCCAGAGGCAAATCTCTTCCCTACCCCGCCGGGGATCCGGTTCTGGCCTCCAGGCAGCAAATGGAATTGGGTTCTTGAACTGTCAGGTTAAGCTTGGTCAGGAGAGGGTGCTGGCGGGACGCTACAGGACCAAAGGCTGCTGCTCCAGGTTCAGTGTTTTCTCTTGATTGTTGCTCTCCCCTTGCTGCCAGCAGCAGGTGTGGAGGACATTTCTGGGCATTCACCCTGTACCTCCCCCGACCCCCATTAACCGTGGATTCTCAGTGACTCCGGCAGGTGCCCCTGCCTAGCACCAGCCTGCCAACAACCACAGAGAAGAGTTTCCTGCTTGCTAGATCCAGCCACAGTTCCTTGCTGGCTAGCCGAGGCAGCCTGTAACTATGGGGTGTTTCCTGTTTGCTCAGCAGGTTTGGAACAGCCTTGACCCAAGGCCAAGAAACTTCACCATCAAGTAAGCCCCAAGTGCACTTTCTCCAAGACCTGAATCTCAGCCTTGGGGAAGGGTCCTCTTCCATGGTATTTGGGTATTTTCTTCAGCCATAGTCTATTCTTGAGAGTTCTTTGTACCTCCTTACAGCTATCGCCCTATTATAGTTACTAATTCTTTTAACTTTCCCTGTTCAAATTGCTGTGTGGTTTCCTGGCTCCTAATAGGGACACTGACAGGTGTTCCTGCTTGCTTGCTGGGTGACCCTGGGTAAATCCCTTAACCCCTCTGAGGCTCCATGTACAATGAGGATAATAGCAGCAGAGTTTTGTAGTAGTATTAAATGATGTAATACATGTAAAGTGCTTAGTAGAGGAAGTGACACAATTTTTTGTTTGTTTGTTTATTGCTGGAAGATTAAAGGTGGGTTGAGAAATAGGCAGAGTCAGTGAAAAAGACTACCTGACTAAAGGAATTTTTTAAAGGGATCATTAATAAAGACTACTGGGAGATGAGATGCAACTAAGAGCTTAATCAAGTGAGGTTCCTCTCCCTTTTTAAAGATGGCCAGCCTGGGAAACAACTTTTGCAATAACTGAAATCACATGTCAGAGATCTATGGGTGGTATTGGTTGGAAACCAGAGAAAGTTATTTTACAGCTAAAAACAATAAAACAGAATAGTTTCTGGATATCACTTTATTACAGTATCCAAATGAGGATATAAAAACCTTTATCCCCAAACAATCCAAATGAGGACATAAAACCCTTTGTCCCCAAACAACCCCAAAATACAACAGCTTCAGTGACTCTTTCCATCTTGTAATTTCAGGAGAATCATCCTCCCTTCTGCTCATCTGCCCAAGAATCTAGAGAACTAATTAGCTTTCTCTCTCTCCCTCTCTCCCTCTCTCTCTGTTTAAGGGGGATTCCATGTGCCCAAACAAGAATCAGAACTCTGTTTCCTCTACACCTTATTTGTCCTTTGTTCCTTCTTAATCAGAGAGTTGGGCAAGGGTAGGAAAATAAACACACTATTTTTAAAGAATGTTTTTGCTTCCTTTCTTGGACTCTACATGTTCTTGATGCAAAGATTCTTTTACAAATGTAGACAAATGTAGAATCTTGGTTTGAATTTTGAAAAATAATCCAACTTATCACCATAAACTTTGATACTGATTTTAATTACTCTTTTTGTTATAAAACTGGTGTGTGTGTGTGTGTGTGTGTGTGTTTGTGTATCTATGGGAAAGATGATTTTTTGACCCAGGCTTTATGATCCTCTTATGTTTAATTCAGCTGCTAAAACATAAAGCTTTTGCTCTTCATGTTGTCCCATGTGGCAGCTCTATCATTATTGGATGTTTCTGTTCATTCAAAATACTAAGGAATAAGTCCTTGTTCTCACCCTGATAAATGCTGCTCCTTCATGTTTCTAGCATAGAAAACAGGAGTTTTACCAAATGTCTTTAGATTTGTATAGGCCATGTAAACCTACAAAAAAAAAAATGACAAATAGTCTCCTTAGGGGGAATCTTTATTACATAAATATATATACACTAAGATGTACACATACAGATATGCCCCTCTATGTATCCAGGCTTAGTAAAGAGTACTACAGAAGACACAGTAAATGTCACTAGTTAGAAGTGAGTCTCATTGTACCTTTTTTTTCAATCAACTCCAATGTTCCCTGAGTTAGCAAAGGTCAGGAAGACTTGTTCCAGCGTTTTCTGAGTGATGGGGTAGTCTTCTAAATCGAATTTCACTTTAGCTTTCTCCAAAACATCAAACATCTTTATCAACAACAACAAAAAAGTACAGTTAACATTGCAGCCATCCCCTCCAGTGCCCAACCCAGATGAGCCTCTCTATCATTTCTTCCAACTCCTACCAAGTTATTGTTGGAAGACAAAAAGCACAGAAAGGGGAGATGAGAAAGTGACAGAATAAATCATTGATAATCTGTGAGGAAGCAGTTCCCTGTCCCCATTTTTTTGAGAGGGACAAAAAGTGGGATTTAAAGGTAGAAATCTGAAGCGATTAAACTCTAGGAACCACTGAAAAGCAACCTAAGGTCTCTGCTAATTCTATAATATCAGGCTCCCATTCCACATGAGAGTCCCAAATATTTCCCATCATTAGGACTTTCTTAACATGTAATATTAGAAGAACATGGTTTCAACATTCGCCTTTGCCCAGGCATTGTTCTTGCTGGGAATGTAGTAGTTAAGGAGCCCTTGATGTTCGTGTTTTAATTCCCTACCTAGGAAAAGAAAGATAAATAATCTTACAGATTTAATTTTCAAGTTCTAAAATATTGCTACACCAACTTGATTATACACAATAGAGGGATGAATAGAGGTCTCAGATAGAAGAGGGACATAATCCAAAGGCCAACCTTTTAGTATACCTAACACGGTTAATTATTTCAGCAGGCTTCAGTCACCAAAAAATTATTACTTCATATGTACAATGTAAAACCTGAACCTTCTGATATTTTTGTTACTACAAACCAAGTTTTGAGAATATGAACTGAAAGGATTTTCATTCTGGTTGTATGAGTATGTATGCATGTACACTATGTTCACTGGGGAGTGCAGCAGGACAAGGATTTCTATTCTCACATGAAATAGGAAATCACACATATAAATCCCCAAAGTCAGGCCACGTGTTATTTCTTTTACAGGTGAATAAGAACCCACCGGTGGAATGAGAGGGAAGGTCAGGGGGCATCCATTTCAAATTAAGAACAAATAGATGTGTTTATTCTTAGCACTGCATATTTGTAAACTATTACTAATTAAATTCATCGGGGTTAAAATTGTTTTTAAAATATATGTTAAAGTAATTAAAGAAGTCATGAGACTGAGGTGGGTCTAATTCCTTGGTAGGCTACATAAGTAAATCAAAACCCAAGCCAGAGTAAATGTACTCAAATCTAAGAAAATGAAACTCAAGAAAATATAGCCACAAATAACCAGCTAGTTTTTCTCAAATAAGGCAACTGCTTAATCAAATATTTCCTTGATTATCCACAGGTTTTTTCTGTATAAACCTCTCCCTTAGCTCCTATTTGTGGAATCCTCCTCATGACCTTTAGTTTGGAGCTGCCCAATTAGAATTGATATATGTTCTAATGAACTCTTGAAAATCGTAATATGCACCAGTTTATCTTTTAATAGTTCTGGTGATAGAACTGGATCCAAAAGAGCCCCCCAGTGGCCCTGGGAGCAAAGATCAAACAGGCATAGGTACTCACTGAGCCCTTTGCACTCATTTACTTTCACACTGTGCCTGAAAGTCTGTGTATGTTCCTATTGGATATCTGAGCTCCTCAGTATTGTGTCACGAGTTCTCCGACTTCATTTGACCTTTTCTTTTACCAGACTGAGTCTGGAGTTGAACAAGGTCTGACTTAAACATTATTAGTTCTCTGTCTTCAACCAAACTGGGTCCAGGGTTGGACTGGATCCAACTAAAACTGAACTGAGTTCAGTGTGGGGCTTTAGGTAGGTTTAAATTTTGTTTTAAGGAATGGAGAGGAAAAAATTAGTTCCTCTGAGCTCAAAGAGTCCGGGAGTTCTCCATCTGGGACTCCAAATGTATAAAAATTATGGGTCCATGTTTTTTATCCATTCTGCCAATCTCTTTTGGTTGGATAGTTTAATAAAGTTTAAATCTTTTCTGGCCTTCCTTTCTAGAGGACAGCTCTGCCAGGTGTATTATTCTTGGTTGACAGATTTTTTTCCCAATATTTTGAATATATAATCTCACTTTCTCTTAGTCTGCAAAGCTTCTTTTAAGGAATCTTATAGGGGATTCCCTTGTGTGACAATCACT